GGGTTTTCTCTTCTCTAATAATAAAGATTTTTCTCACCATTTCAACACACTGTCTCTCCTATTCTGCTTCTGTTTCAGGGGTCCGTCCCAACCTTCTGCAGCCATGGCTGCTTCTCTCGTAGCCAGCAAAAAGAGCTTTTTCCTGGATCAATAAGAGTCTTTGTGATGCCCCTGAGATCAGCAGGACGTGCCCTTCTCTATCACCATTCCTTCAGAACAGTTTAGATCCAAAAGGATCATCCAGCAACAGAGATATTGACGGCAATCCTGGAACCCCAAGATTGTATGTCATGTCGTAGTGACGCCCCACCTCTCAAACTGTTAGATTCTTGATGTTCTGTAAGTGTGGTTGTTTTCTTGCAGATGTAAAAAGAACTGAAGATGTCACCTAACTTGGTGATGAAGGAATGCAAGAAAGCAACCAATTTCAGAGAACATCCAGGGCATCTCAGATTAACCCTGTGTCACTCATTGACAGGGGATGAGATGAAGATAATATCATGAGGACATTATAGGAAAAAAAGATCCCTTCAGGACAAGTTTACATAATATTCAGGTGCAATCTTAAAATAATACAATAGGATGCATATGTTTTTATTATCTAGTTTCTTTAACAAGTATTTTCTCTTTAAAGAAAGTTATATGACCAAAGTTAAGAAGTTGCAAAATAAACAGAATGCTGGTTTTATGTACAGCAATTATATTGCAATTTCTTTAGCAGAGACTTGAAGAACGAATCCATATCAAAGAATACAGTTTTTTACATGAGACCATGAACAAATTTGGGTGGAGGCAGTATAATCTGTGCAGGGAGTTGTAGAATTGAGGTGAGATAGTATATTTGGTTGTTTATTATAAACAGTGAAGATGAGCATAAGCAAAAAAAAAACCTTTATTATTTTTAAACAATCTCAAATATTATGAAGTATTATGTTCCAACATACTCACAAAGATAATTGAAATGTACTTCCTATCCCCTGTATAGTGATTATAGCAATAGATTTAGTGGCAAAATAATTTTGGACATGGGATTGGTGGAATTTTACTACATGTACACCATGTTAATCATTTCTTAAGAACTGTAATACTGCCAGGACCAAATGTCATTTTGTTAATTTGTAAACATTCTATCTTTCCCCAGAGTTACTTTCCTAGTTCTCTCTGTGCTCATTTTATCATAAAACCACCTTTTGAGATAAGATGGGCTGAGAGATTCACTGGGTCCAAGTCACCTAGTGACAGTTGTGGGTTTCAATATTTTTTAGAACCTATTCTGTGGGTGTGGTCTATTTTGTAGGCATGGCTTGGCAGTCATGTGACTGGGCGGGTACGGACAACTTGACATCACTCATGCACTCTCAGTCACATGACCACCCCCCCAAGCCATGTGGCAAAATTTTTAGGACTCCTATGAAGAGGGGGGAGGGGAAAACCTTCCAAAAATAGACAATTGGAGGACTAAGGGCCAAAATTAGGGAGATTAGAGAAGGCAGGACAGAGGGGAATCTAGTGGAAAGCTATCACATGTTGGAGAAAGAACTTTGGGAGATCAGAGGCGGCAAGACAGAGGGGAATCCAGGACAAAGCTATCACACATTGTGGAAAGAACTTTGGGAGATCTGAAAAGGCAGGACAGAGTGGAATCCAGTAGAAAGCTATTGCACGCTGGGAAAAGAACTTTGGGAGTTCAGAGGAGACAGGACAGAGGGGAATCCAGTAGAAAGCTATTGCACGCTGGGAAAAGAACTTTGGGAGTTCAGAGGAGACAGGACAGAGGGGAATCCAGTAGAAAGCTATTGCACGCTGGGAAAAGAACTTTGGGAGTTCAGAGGAGACAGGACAGAGGGGAATCCAGTAGAAAGCTATCACACTCTGGAGAAAGAACTTTGGGAGATCGGAGGAGGCAGGACAGAGAGGAATCCAGGAGAAAACTCCTAAGCTTGCCACTGCTGTCTGGTGGATTATGCTGCTGGACCTCTCCATGCTTCTCCATTCACCACCTCCACTTCCAGGTATGGGACTTGGCACCGAATTGGGCTAGGATAGTGCGGACGGGTGGGGGGAGCGAGCGATGGAGCTGCTTCAGGAGAGGTAGGGGTGAGTGAGTGAGCGACAGGGCCAGGGCAGGCATTCCGGAAGTTACTTCCGGGTCCACCGGTCGAATCTCTCACCGGATTGGTAAATTTCACCATCCAGTTCTCCTGAGCTGGTGCGAACCGGCAGAAACCCACCACTGCCTAGTGACCTTACATAGCTGGATTTCCATAACCATAAACTACATGATCATCTTGGAGAAGGTCTATTCATGTGGCTTTTTAGATTATGAACTGACTTAATAGCACCTAATCAAATAAACAAGCAATGCTGATTTATAATGTTGCGCAGTGGTGAACAGTCTGCAAATCTAGGGTAACATTTGTTCCTAAAGTTAATTTAATGCATATCTTTGTTTAATTTCAAAATCCTCTATGTAAGAGACCATAGGTGCTGTTTGGGAAATTTCCAGGAAGGAAAAAGGGAAATCCCATCCAATGTTGACTCTGGTCTGATTTACTGATTACTTCAACCCCACGCCTGCATAGTTCTACAGATTTTCTCTGAGGAAGAAATATCCTAACTAATGCAGTACAGAATTATTTGAGCTGTTAAAACTGGGGTTAAACATTTAAAATTTTCCATTGCTTGATAATAATATTGTTTAATTTTTGGCTTATTTTTATTGTCAGACCTTGGCATAAATCATACAAAAGTGATCCAAGAACAACAGCTAGAGATCATTAAGCATAGCCATCATTGGCAGCACTGCACATAGAAATGACTTAATAATTAATGTGAAATTTCAAGTTTACAATATTTTTTTTGAATTATTATCTGACCTGTATCTCTCTGTTCATGGCCATTGGGAATCTGTGCAGAGAACAGCTCTTTTAGTGTTAATTTTTCAGCAGTTAATTATTCCAAATGCAGTAATATATGCTCCTCCTTTCTTAAATACTTTTTAACTTGATTTTTGGCAGACAGAATTCCTCAGAGGAGGAGTAAACTGTGGAAAGATGTACTTTGCACTAGACACCTTTATATGCTTAAACTCCTATCAACATTGTTTTTACTTCAAAATACTGATTTTAATTCTGTGTTATTTCTCCAAAATTCTGTAAGTGAGTCTTAGCTGGGGCCAAATCTTCTCTAGCACCATTGTGGAGTTGTGTCCCAATGACTTGTAATGAGACTTACTCTAATCTCTAGTGCTGTCAAGGAAGAATTAAATCTAGGCTGTGGGAAATTTAAGAAAACATTTGCCACAGAAAAATAGTATTGCCTTCATTAGCACTTTGCATTCAGAGATTTTTGATACTACAAGTAGCTCTTGACTTACAATGGACCCACAAAAGGGACTTAGACCTGGTTTTGAAGTTCTGATGTCGCACACACACCCATGGTCACATGACTGCATTTTGAACACTCAGCAACCAGTCACATTTAACGTTGCAATCACATGTCTGTGATTTATGGTTTTGCCAGAAACTGGCATTTACCTCCAGTTTCTGGCAAAAACTGGCAATAGTGAATAATGGGTTTGCTTAACAATCATGACAGTTGCTTAACTACTGTGGTATTCTCTGTCACAATCAGTGACACGGTAGTCACTTAATGACCACTACAAAAAAAGCTCAGAAAAACAATTCAGATCGCATGGTGATCCACATTACCACCATCACAAGATATGACTATAGTTGCCAGGTGTAATACATCTTGTAGTAGGTTCTGTAGCTTGATTAAGTTTTAAATAATAAAGGAATATTTTCTTTCCTTCAGTAGTTACTCATAACCAAACCAGCCATTTCTCTCAACTATAGGCATATCTCCAATTGTATGTAACCACAGCCCCATCAAGCCTTTGCAGCCACTTTCTTTCTGCTGTGATTCTATGGTATAATCTCCATTTCTTCCTCAACCATTGACAGAAACAATTTAAAGTCGTGCTTGACTGAACTGATTTTAAAACAGTTCTGATACCATCCAGTGAGAGCCTCAAGAGTTATAAAACCCATTAAGCCTTGCCAGGCATTTCCTTGGAAGAAGTCAGGCGAGAGATGATAGGGATCGGCAAAATGGAGGTCAGCAAAGATCATGTTAGTATAATTTTCTGCCAGTTCAAGTGAGGATACTTGGCACTTTGACTTAGAAATGGAAAAAGATGTAAGAGTTGAGGTTGCATTCATTTGTGGCATTTTTGATCAGAGACATCTGCAGTGATGGTCTTTGAAGATATAGCTGAGCAATCAAAGCCCCAGTCTTTTTCACAAGCATACAGTACATGTGACTCATATTATAAAGACATAGGCTTCCACAATTTTGAAGCCAATGCCTTGTTTTACTGTGGATGTCCTTGTTTCGAATTGATTTCTCCAGCACTCTGCCATGAATACCATGGCATACCATATTAACATAGCTCTGTCTTAAAAATTTTCCATAAGCAAAAGCAGTTTAGCAGTTAAAGTCCTTATTAGTTAAGGGAAACAAACAAACAAGCATATTAGAAAAACTATGGAACATGTTAATATGGTAAGCACCTAGCATTTTTAGATACTCGTTGCCAAGTACTGTAGGTAGGACAACTTGGCACAGATATTCGAAACTGATCTAAATTCACAAAGCAGCATGTGTCTCAATTCGTTTCCATCAAACTGTTGTATATTCTTCATGTATTATGCTCAGCTTCTGTGTTGTATGTATTCTGCAAACATTGGGGAGCAACGGACATAATCTGTTTGTACGAGAACCTCCTGCTTCAAGTGGAGTTTGTGTCTCGAAAAGAAATGATTTTAAGAAACAAAGAAAGGCAAAGCAAGAGCCTACCTGGAATTGGCAGTTTAGGGTTGTCTCTGAGTTGAAATTTGAAGCTTTTCAGTAAAGACACACCTCTTTCAGGGTGTTATGCAAACTAAAGGACAGAAAATGCAACAGCCAGAATCCATAGTTATGCTGTCATTTAGTCAGTTTATCAGTCGACAAAAAATTAGGAGGCTTGCAATGATGCAACCATTGGCCTTAATGCCCTGAAATTGTCTGAGAGCTGGATTGTTAGGAAAGTTACTGACTCCACACTAGCAGTTTTTTGCAGCATTAACATTGTTCCTGCTCTTTTTCCTTTTTTTTAACCCTCTGCTTTTCATGCATGATTATTTTCTGACTACAGTGGGATGAATCTGCGGCAAAAGATTTTGATTCCTTTAGTAGGAATGGTCTTGGCCATTTATTTTTATTCAGGAAAGGAAGAGTTTAAACCTGGTAAGTTATTTGAAGTAAAGGTATTTTTGAATTAAAAGGAGAGGCAGGAGAAAAGAAAGGACCCTTGCTTTTAAAAACACACAAACTGGTTCAGAGCCTAAAATGAATCTTGCCTTGGTCATGAATGGCTTTACTTGGAAGCTTCTACAAGCCATATTTGCCACAGGCAAGTAGATTTTTTTCCCCAGCAAGCAGGTAAGATGGGAAATATCAGGGTGGGAGGGTTGTTTTTGTTCTTTGAAGGATTTTGATATTCTATCTGTTCAAAAGGGATTTTTGCTTGTGAAAAGTTCCTGAAAAACAGGGGGAAAAAATACTTGTATGATAGTTTTAACAGCTTTTGAACCTGAAATGCACGAAATGGGTTAAAACTAATGCCTAATTATATTGCGGGAAAGAGAAAGACAGAGTGGGGGAGTAAAAATTATTTTGGTGTTATTTTATGCTCCTTTAGAATGCTAGTAATTCTTGTTTCTGCTGCTTTCTTGTGCATTATACTGTTATGACTAATAACTGATGAAGGCTGGAATTGCTGGTTATCCTCTTATGATCTTTAATGTTATGCGTTTATTGGGGGGAATGGGAACCTATTTAATGTCAGCTTTATAAAATGTGATTCTTGCATCTTATTCTCTAGAAATGTTGAAAGAGAAGAGAGTGATTGTTACCGGGGCTAGCACTGGAATTGGTGAGCAGATAGCATACCACCTAGCCCAGATGGGTTCTCATCTCCTGATTACTGCACGGACAGAAGCCCGGCTCCAGCAAGTAAATATTAAATATTCATTTATTCCACTATATAATTACACTCACAAGCTCTCATACACTGAAAGGGTTAAGAGAGAGACAAAGAACACTCTCCCTCAAACTGGGAATGAAAATTAATTCTTCAAAGCCAGAAAGAAGCAAGGAGATAACTGCCACCATTCATAGGTGACTCTTAATGACATTTTTCCTTCTTTGCCTGATTAATGGCGTCAGACTGTATTATACCTTCAAATCCCAGGGATAAGGAAAGATAACTGCTTCATCTAATATGGAGAGTCAGAGCAAGATCTCTGATGCTATTCCTTCTAATCTCTCCCTATGATTTTGGAAAGCAGGCATGACAGCGTAGTCCAATGGGCTGGTGAAATGGATAAAGTCACAAACATATGAGAGAGGGGGGAGAGGGAGGGAGGGGGAGGGAGGGAGGGAGAGGGAGACAGAGACAGAGACAGAGACAGAGAGAGAGAGAGAGAGAGGGAGGGAGAGGGAGAGGAAGAGGGAGGGAGGCGCATAATCATAAGAAGGGAGGGAGGGAGGATGATTAAACATTAATATTTGGGAGAGATTTAAAATTTTAAATTGTGGAACCCTGGTTTTATAGTTTATTATCAGCAGCATGTGAGTATGTTTGCACATATTTAAGTATGTGTGTCTGTGTGATTGTATGTCCAGCCATGCACCTGATAAAAATGTAGTGGATATCTTCTGAAAAATGTATCCTTTCCTGCTGATTCAAGATTACAGTAGGTGGACGACACTTTATTTTGGTACAAAGAAGGGACCTGAATTAGTTTTTGAACATGGAATAGATATTCATTCAAAACTTCCCAATGCTTTGCAAACATTCTCATTCCATATATATGCCAGATACTGCCTATCTGGACAGCATACTGCTTATCTGCCTTTCTGGAAGAAAAAAACCTGACCAGAATATCTAAAAAAGTATACCTGAAGGCAAACTCAAAATTAAGTTCAGAAGTACAAGCCCAGGCTATCTCTAAAACTGTTACCATATGTTTGATTTGAGATCATAGATTGAGTATACACATCTACACACAATATTTTGAAAAGCATTTGTTTTTTGCCACTGCCCTCTAGAGACAGAGAGAGGTTGCAGCATCAATTAAATAAGTTGGAGCATGCTTAGAGTTAGCCTGTGTCCTTATGTATACATATTTTTGAGATGAACATGTTCTATCAACATTTTTCCAGCTGTAACCATGACATTCCTATGAAATCTAGAAGTTGGCATTTGTTACTTTATGAAGAAAGGAAAGGATGGGAAGATACATCATAGTCCAAAGTACTGCTCATGATTCATATTCCTTTATGATTCAGATCTGTCTTGTTTTTAACTTTATTCATTTATTTATGAACTTGAGATATAGCAGACAAGGCACAGGAAAGTGGCTAGACGTGATTGATGACTCAAACAGTCAGACCTATCCTATTCCTATGGCAGTATTCCTTCTATGATAGGTAGATATGCTTCCAGGTAGTGACATGCTGAAGAGGAAGACCAATGGAAGTCAGAGAATTCAGCCTGTCTCTTTGCTTATCAATTGTTGTATATCTTTGTACAGGGCAGCACAATGTGAATCAGAGCCATAGAATCTACATAGTGAGTGGCAAAGAGGCCAGTATTTTCCATTGATTCAGGACTAGATTGTATGGCACTTTATTTTGGCACAAAGAAGGGACATGTAGTAGATATTCATTCAAGACTTCTCAACCCTTTGCAAATATTCTCGATGTGTGTGTGTGTGTGTGTGTATAAATAAAATCTTTGGTTATTCGGGTTTTCTCCCGCATAAATTTGAAAGTTTCTTGGTGACGTTTCGATGAGGTCTCATTCGTCATCTTCAGGCTGGTTTGCTCAGCTTTGTGCTTCAAGGAGCAATGTGAGATCGCAGCTGTTTCTTCCTTTTAACTGCCAGTGGGGGTGGGAACTGATTGGGTGGGAGCTTGGCTGTGTTGTGATTGGGTGGAGGTGTGTTCTGATTGGTTGGGTGGGGTGTGCTCGGCTTAGTATAGGTTGCCGGGGGATTTGAGCTGGTGAGCTGCGTTGCTGTGGTTTGGCTTCGTGTTTGTGGCTGTGCCAGGTCTTCATGGTGGGTGTCGTCTGCTTCATGTATGGAATCGAGGGGTCTAAAGTGGCTAATGATGCAGCTGCAGTTTGGCTTCTGGTACTTGGTCATGCCTCATCATCAGTGTGGGTTTGAGTCTGCTTTCTGCATGGATGTGCGGTGGTGACATCCTGTGTGGCTCTCGTGAGTGTGGGTCTGATGTCATTCCTCGTGTTTGGAGCTCGTTTGTCAGTAAGAGTGGGTTTCCAAATGGCTGGTAGGCGGGAGGTATTGTCTTGTTTGTTCATGCTATGTGGGCATTTTTCTATCTCGATGACTTCTCTGATTATTCTATTGTTAAAGGGTTCAGCTTTTGCGATAGTTCTGGTCTTTTTAAAGTCAATTTCATGTCCTGTGGTTTTAAGGTGTTGGACCAGGAAAGAAGTTGGTTCCTCTTTTCTGACTGCGTTCAATGCGTGCACTTATTCTTCTGTTGGTTTGTCCGATGTATGTGGAGCGGCAAGTGGTGCATGGGATTTCATATACCCCTTGATTTTCTAACTCAATTTTGTCTTTGGGGTTTCTTAGGATGGTGGATATTTTTCAGTTTGTGCAGAATGCCGTCTTGATGTTGTGTGTGTGGAGGATTTTGCTGATTCTGTCTGTGGTGCCTTTTATGTATGGGAGGAGGGCTTTTCTGTTTTCTTGTTCTCTGTCTTGGATTTTAGTGGCGGTTTCTTTTTGGATTAGGTTGGTAATCTTATTTCTTTGGA